CCATTAGCTTTCTTCACCACATTTGCTTATGCACACGTTTGTCTTCAGTGATTGTGTCAGTAAAGCGGGCACACACTGATATGGTTTTCCATTCTTTGATGTCTGATAACTGATTCCTTCTGCACCTCATGGTCAGACAGGCTGGTGTGCTTTTTCCATGTGGGCTTTGATGCTCCTCAGCTAGATGGCCACTTGTTTGTCTTCCAGAGGTCTCATGTGCCAACCCCAGGTGACTGACAACATAGGCCCCATAGAGTGGTGTGTGAAGGCAAGGCCCTTTCGTTGACCAGGAAGACCCAGACAGCCTGAGACGTGGGTAGAGCCCACTGTGTGCCTCATAGTCACACCCAGCCTGGTGTACAGGGGGCACTCCTGCCTGACCCTGGGTTCACAACCATTCACATGGGAATCGCTGGATGGGAATTTGGGCTAGTGGCCCTTTTAGCACATTGATGCTCATGAGTGACAAGATCCTTTAAATACATGTAACTAAGAAGCACAAGCTGTCTCGAATGTGACCTTTGGCCTACTCCTTCATAAATACAGAGTCCTGTTAAGGATGTCCTCTGGGGATGCAGAGCTGAGAAGATAAAGACCCTGTACTCCAGCCCCCTGTTGACAGACAGAGCTGAGCTTCCCCAGTGCTGAGGCAGAGCTCCGAATGCTTGGAATAAGGAGCTGGAGTACCCCTGCCTCTGAGCCAGCTCCCTGTAGCGCTGGGGAGAACATCAGCCTCACTGATGCTCATAAAAAGTCTTCCTAGAGAAAACTGGTCAGATCTCCTCAGAGAGGCTGCTCTACTCCCCCACCTGCTTCTCCTAGCCTTCCACACACTCATGGTCCATCCATGTGCCCATTCATCTATGCGTTTATCTGCCATGCCACCCATCATCCATGTATCCATCCCATTTATCGTCCGTCTGTCCGTCCATCCATCCACCCACCCACCCACCCACCCACCCATCCATCCATCCATCCATCCATCCATCCATCCATCCATCCATCCATCCATCCGCTGTGCAGTTCCTCATCCACTGTGCGCTTGCTCATTCTGTGCTGGGCCCTGGGGACAAACAGGTAAGTAGGGTGTAGTTGCTGGCCTTCAGGCAACTCTGTTCTCTGTGGAGAGGCTTCTAGAACAGTTTCCAATGTGAGCGGTACTGCCTGCTGTGTGGGTGGGGCGCTGGAACAATCTGCAAAAGCTGATACCTACACTTTATCATGGAGGATGGGTTGTAGCACCAAAGGTTTCATTTGTCAGGGAGTGCTGAGAGATTGTTTTCTGAAGAGGGGGTGATCGGCCAAATAGGTTTGGGAACCTATGCTCCAGAGGGTTCCACTGGAGTATTCTCTCTCTCCCATGCATTGTAAAAGGAGAAGGGTCCACTTGAATTGAAATGCAGGTACAGCATTCCATGAGGAGAAGTCATGCAGCCCTCCTGCACATGGGTGAGCTGCGAAAGAGGCACTTGGGGGCACTGAAGTTTACAGGTGAGGGGGTGCTCTGAATGCGACATCAGATATAACCTTTAACGTATATGTGACATAGGTATTGTGTTAGCCCGGGTAGACTAGAGAAACAAATCCAGGGAGACTCGTATGTGAATAAGAAAAAGCTTCATATACAAGAGCAATTGAATTTGAGAAAACATCCTGGCCAGTCCAGGTCAAGTCCATAAGTCCAATATTAGCCCATATGTCCAATACTAGTCCATAAATTTCTCTTTAGACTCACACGGCCATACAAGAATGCCAAATGCAGGAAGGTCACAGACCAGTGGGTGGAAAGTCTTGTGGATCCAGTGGTGGTAGTGCATCTCAGCACTGGCAGGGGTCTCCACATGGCTCCTTCAGCTCTAGGGCTCTAGTGTAGCTCCATGTGTCTTATCAGCAAGCATGCCTCACAGGGAGTGAGCCTGCGTCCTGCCTCCAGCGAGTTATTTATCTCCTTTAGCACCTCCAAATGAGGTCACCCAGCTGTGACCTGATTGACCGGCTAGACTCCACCCATCCGCAAGTTGACAGGATATTGTGTAACTGCCATAGTCCCTTGCCACTGCACTTTGCTTGATAGCAAGGCTACTCACATCCCTTGTCAATAGGCAGAGGCAATTCACCAGAAGCTTCATTGAAGCTGAGACCCTGCAAATGGATTTTGGATTTTCACTTCATCTACAGCAGTGATTCTCAACCTGTGGGTCATGACCCCCTTTGGGGGTGGAACGACCCTTTTGAAAGGGTGTTTTCTGATGGTCTTTGTGTGGTCTGATGTGTTTTCTGATGGTCTAAGGCGACCCTGTGAAAGGGTCTTATTTCTGGTGGTCTTAGGAACGGAGACACTGCTCCTCTATCTGTCTCCAGGCAGGTCTGCCCACATGCAGTTACGCCCACATACAAGTACCTGGCGTGATGACATCATCATGCCAACCCCATCACATACACCCCGTACAAATACAGGTGTATGTGACAGGGTTGGTGCCATAATGTACTTATGTGGACCAGTCACACATGTAGAGAGCAGCTACTGTGTAGAGAGCAGTAGTACTGGAGGTAAAATGGCACTTCATGAATTATAATTATTGGGTAAGTGTAGAATCGTTTACTGTAATATCAACTACTGCAGAAAAAATATATCTGTATCGTGGGAACTTAATCTGGATGCTGATCGGTCTTTTTATATTCAGCTGTGGTGATGTGAATACTGCCCCCTTGTGATAGTAACAGGTATGTAAAACAACAGAATGGTAAATCATAGGAAACTTTAGTGAACTGTATTGACTGAACTATGCCATGTATCATCTTTTCTATTATTAAAGCTATTGTTATCTATTATTTTCATTAGCAAGCCATCCCGTGACAATGGATCGTGTAGAGAAGAATGTTAAGAAAAGAAATTATAGTGAGGGTTTTTTAAAGTATGGTTTTACCTCAATAATTACAGCAGGAATTGAGAAACCAGAATGTGTTATTTGTTGTGAAGTTATGTCAGCCAATTCTATGAAACCGAGCAAACTAAAATGCCATTTTGATAGCAAGCATCTGAGCTTTGCTGGCAAGGATACCAATTATTTTAGAAGCAAAGCTGACAGACTTAAGAAAGCCAGACTTGACACTGGTGGCAAGTACCACAAACAAAATGTAGCAGCCATTGAAGCGTCATATTTGGTGGCACCCAGAATCGCCAGAGCTATGAAATCTCACACCATTGCTGAGGGTTTACTGTTGCCAGCGGCCAAAGACATCGTTCGAGTTATGATCGGAGACAAATTTGTTATGAAATTGAGTGCAATTTCCCTATCTAACAACACTGTCCACAGAAGAAAAATGACATGTCTGCTGATGTTCTTGATCAGGTAATCCAGGAAATTAAATCTGCTTCACTCCCAATATTTAGCATCCAGCTTGATGAATCCACAGATTTGCAAACTGTTCACAGTCGCTGGTTTCCATGAGGAATGTGAATGATGGCGACTTGAAAGATGAGTTTCTTTCTGCAAACTCTTGAAACGACAAGTACTGCACGTGATTGTATTGGACACTGTCGGTTCATTTCTGAAAGAGCTTAACATCTCTCGAGAAAAGGTTTGTGGTGTTTGCACAGATGGTGTTCCAGCTGTGCTAGGATGTCGATCTGGATTTCAACAGAGCTCACTCTATGATTCATTGGCAAATATTAGCAACAAAGACGCTGCCACAAGAGTTACAAGAAGTGATGAAAAGCATCGTAAGTTCTCTGTTGTGTACAGGAATCACTTTAAGCAGTCGACTGTTTTTGCAACTGTGTGATGAGTTGGATGTGCCAGATAATGCTCTGCTGTTTCACACGAAGTGAGATGGCTGTCGAGAGGAAACGTTTTATTTATTTAATGCATCGATTATTATTTTTTAATCATTTTATTGGGGCTCATACAACTCTTATCGCAA